GGGGTGATGTAGTTTTTGTCGCCGCCGGCGGTGGTCGTGTTGGAGGCTGCTGCTGCGGTGGTCGTTGAGGCGGCTGCGGTGGTCGTTGAGGCTGCGGTGGTCGTGGAAGCGGCTGTGGTAGTTGAGGCTGCGGTGGTCGTTGGGTCTGCGGTTGTCGTTGAGGCTGCGGTGGTAGTTGAGGCTGCGGTGGTCGTGGAAGCGGCTGTGGTCGTTGAGGCTGCGGTGGTAGTTGAGGCTGCGGTGGTCGTTGAGGCTGCTGTGGTAGTTGAGGCTGCGGTGGTCGTGGAAGCGGCTGTGGTAGTTGAAGCGGCTGTGGTAGTTGAGGCTGCGGTGGTCGTTGAGGCTGCGGTGGTCGTGGAAGCGGCTGTGGTCGTGGAAGCGGCTGTGGTCGTGGTGGAGACGCTATCAGCTGGATCGATCTCCTCCGGCCGTTTCGGTACTTCGCATGATTCCAATCCGCTCGGTTCGAATCGGTTTCCGTTGACCTTGAAAGGAGAAATGCACCCTGTTATACCCGGGAGTCCTCCGTAAGCGCCTACAGCGTAGGTTCACGGCGGTTTCAATATAGACAATAAGTAGTGAGCCCTCTGTTGGTCACTATTATAGATTTTAGATATTCTCGTAGTTGGGGGCGCTAACGCGGAAGCGATAATTTCATTATTCTCCATATATGGGTTTTTAAATGACCAACCAACAGGTTTAAAATTAAAAACGTAATGAATATTCATGATATTATCGAAGAAGACATGCTAAACAGTTCCGTAGTATAACATAGGTACGATGTCATGGCTCTTGATTTTACGTGTGAGTATTTGAATTTATTTCATGTTTTTCACCCAAAACTTGGCATGTAAAGTTTACATGGCTATAAATAATTTTTGCAATTTTTTGAAACATTGCCATTTGCTCCATGTTATTACTATTTGACTTCTGCATTATCCTCTAAAAATCTCTCTGACAACTGTTCCTGTAAAAATTTTATTTAAGTTTAAAAATGACCGTGTCTGGC